CACTCTATTTTAGATCCCTTCCTTCCCCTTCCTCTAACAGATATGCCCAATTGTTCCACTGTTTTCTTCATCCATCTCCATTGAGTTTTCCCCATCCACATCCAAATACACAATTTTTCTCTCACTTTTGAAGTCTCTCTCTTCACTCCGTGTGCCTTCCCAGCTACTACCCTTGCTCCCATGATCCTACCTCTGTTGAACTGCTTCTTTCTCCTTATCCCCTAGGTTCCTCATATACCCTTCCCTCCCCCCTCCCCTAATCTAACCCAATTTTTATCCAAATCTCCCTTCTTAAGGTCTGTTGCCTACTATTCTTCTCCTTCAGTGGGATATTTTTTAAAAAGCAGACATGAAGGTGGGAGGGAAATCTCTTGGGAGAGGCAAGGGTGGGGAGAGTTGATATGATTAAAATACATTACATATGTGTGTGAAATTGTCAAAGAAGAAATAAAAAATAATGAAAAAGAATCTGAGCTTAAAGACAGAAAAAGGGATATTTTTTAAAAAGCAGACATGAAGGTGGGAGGGAAGTCTCTTGGGAGAGGCAAGGGTGGGGAGAGTTGATATGATTAAAATACATTACATATGTGTGTGAAATTGTCAAAGAAGAAATAAAAAATAATGAAAAAGAATCTGAGCTTAAAGACAGAAAAATTTCCAAGAGTGTAAGTAAGGCAATGGCAAAGATACAGAGAATGAAGAAAAGGGCACAGAAATCCAGGCCATGACAGTTATAAAAAGTGCAGCATCTATGTGCTAGGACTACCAAAGAAAAAAGCAGAAAGGAATAGAAGAAATATTTGAGTGATGCTAGCTGAGTTTCCTAAAAGTAACTATAGACATCAAACCACAGATCTAGGAAGATCAGACACCAATATGATTAAGACCCCTTCTCAAACTCTACACTTATGCATATAAAATTCAGAAAACATGAAACAAAGAAAAAATCCAAAAGAAGCTGGGGGTGGTGGTGGGTAGCAGGAATCCACTTTACTACCAAGAAACAAGGATAAGAATCACCCTGAGTTTTTTTGGCACAAACTATCAAGCACAAAAAGAGTGAAATAAAATATTTACACAGTTAAAACGAAGACATCAACAAACTACCATTAAAAAGCCCAATAAAAACATTTAAAAGCAGAGTTGAAGTTTTTTTCAGACAAACAAAAGTGATGAAATTTATTGCAATACATCTCCACTATATAAATATTAAAAGAATAATTTCAAAGAGAAGGAAAACGGAAGAGGTCAGAAACTCAGAGCGCCATAAAGAAGGAAGAAATTAGAAAGAGAAAACATGAAGACAATGTACCACCTTTTATTTTTCCTGTCCTTAATTGATCTAACAGATAATACTTTGTTCAAAATGATGGCATCAATGCGTTCAGGGGTTATAGGTTATTTAGTATGATTTTTAAAGGGACAACAGTGTTATAAGGTGTGGGAGGGAGACCTGGAAATGCTCTAAGACATTTGCCCTATCTGTGAAACAGTAGAATGCTATTTGAAAGTAGACTTGGTTGGGGCCGGAGAGATGATTTACTGTTTAAGAGCACTGTCTGCTCTTCCAGAGGACCCAGGATAAATTCCCAGCATGGCAACACACAACCATCTGTAACTCCAGTTCCAGAAGACACTCTCTTCTGGCCTCTGCAGGCACTGCATACACTTGGTGCACTTACACACTTGCAGGCAAAATACTCATACACATAAAATAAAAATAATAATATTTTAACAAGTAGACTTAGATTAGTCATATATTTATATTTCAAAGTCTGGAACAAACCACTGAAAAACAAAAAAGTCCCACCACACACATACAGGAGTACACACACACACACACACACACACACACACACACGTGCGCGCTCAGAGTCAGAGAATAAGGAAGACTATGTGATAACATAGAGTCCATTAAATGAGAAAAAAATTTGATCAGAGAAGGGTTTGAAAGTGTACATTAATGGGATGTTCTTTAACATTTGAGAAGTAGCCCAGACCCTGCTGGCTGGAGATGACAGGCCTAACAGATCCTCTGGTAGAAATGCCAGACAGGCTGGGAGGATTTCAAAACTGGATGTACTATTTTCTACTTTTCTCTGTTTAGCCCTGGAGACTCCAATCCTCGTGGAGCTCAGAGTCCAATATGGTATCTGAGTGGTATAATATAAACTGCTAAAGGAAATCAACAGATGGGTTTGAGGGCAAACTTAGCTGATAATGTGCGTGTCCAGGGAAGAGCTGGGTGGTTTCCCTGAGAGAATACCATGGGTACAGCAGGAGTAATAGTTGACTTTGATGTTTGTGATTATTGATTTTTGATCAATAGATATCAGAGCAAAATTATGCCACACAATAATTTATGGGAAGAGGGAATCATAATCTATAAGTAATAATATAGGGGCTTAGCTGGGCAAGCATGAAGACTTGAGCGTGGATCCCTAGTACCCAGATGAAAGCTGGGTGTGGCTGTAAACACCTTTGATCTCAGTGCTGGGAAGGTATAGACCCCTGGGGCTTGCTGGGTAGCTAGTCTTGCCAAACCAGTGAGGTCCAGGTTCAGTGAGAGACCCTGTCTCAAAAAGTAAGGTAGAAAATGATAGAGGAAGATACCCAGTATTGACCTTTGGCCTTTATACACAAACCTGCACACAAGCATGAACACATATACACCACATAAACATATACATAAAAGTAATAATGCAATAACATGTATTAAGAGGCTATGGTGCTAATAGCTCTTTTTTTCTTCAAAATTTTTTAAAATTTATTTTTATTTTTTATGTGTATGAATGTTATGCATGCATGCATGTAAACACACCCATGTTGTGCAGTGCCTGCGAAGGCCAGAAGATGGCGTCAGATACCCTGTAACTGAAATTACACACAGTTGCTAGCTACCGTGTAGGTGCTGAGATTCAAACTGGGGTCTTCTGCAGGAACAACCAGTGCTCTGAACTGTCTCTCTAGCCCTTTACTTTTCCTTCTTTATGCCACTCCATAGACACACTGCACCAATGCGAATGACAAGAGCTAATATTTGCTAAAGGTCTATTATATGTTAGACATTTTTGCAGGCACAATTAATTAAAATGCTGGTATTTAAGAGGGATACTGATATTTCATGCCACAAATGAGGAAATCAGGAGACTTAGGAATTAAGTAGCTCATATACATTATTATTCTACTCACTGGAAATGATGGCATAAAATGTTTTCCTTACAAAAATATCCTTGGTTGTACATGGGAACAAATTCATTTGCACAGAGCAAAGGAAAAGGGTAATTAAAGATAAGAAGAGAGGAAGGGATGGAAGCTTGAGGGGAGAAAGTATGCCAGAAGCTCTTTCTAGATGTAGCATGTTTAGTAAACAATTAAAATGTGATTAGCTTTGCAAACAACTTGTTATAGTTCGTTTTTGTCAACTTGACAGAAACCTAGACATACCTGGAAAGAGGGAATTTCAACTGAGGAGTTTCCTCCATGAGCTTGGCCTGTGAGCGTGTCTGCGGGGCATTTTCTTGATTGCTGGTTGATGTGGAAGGGCCCAGCCCACTGTGGGCGGTGTCATCCCTGGGCAGCTGAGCAAGCGAGAGGAAACAAGCCAGTGAGCAGCTTTTTCTATGTTCTCTGCTGCAGCTCCTGCTTCCAGGTTCTGGCCTCCAGTTCTTGTCCTGATTTCCATCAGCGATGGATTGTGACCTAACACTTAAGATAATAACAAACTCTTTCTACCCCAAGTTTCATTTAGTCATGGGGCTTTATCACAGCAACAGGAAAGCAAACTGGAATAAGGACTCCTAGGCATTTAACTGAAACTTAGATTGGCATGTCATTATATTCTTGGTCTATAAGAGGAAACCATCAGTTAGATGGTTGATTTTTGCTTGCTTGGCACTGCATACCCTTGACCAAATCCCATCGCTTTTCTGCTATTACTGTTACAATCACAAAAAGACCTCATCCAATGCTTTTAAAACCCCAGATAATAGATGAGAAGAAACTTAGAGATGCTGTGAGTGAGCAAGCTCTTTGGCATCAAAAGAGTAAGCATTGTGCCTGTGCGGTGACAGATGCAAAGTGAGAGATGGCCTTAGTGAGTCCTCCAGGAGCCACTAATTAGCATAATGGAGACATGAGCCATGATAACTAATGAATGGCATTGCTATACAGCAAGTCTTCAGCAAATATCTAATGAATGGGGCTCGTTCCCTTCCTCCTCACCTGACCCATTGGTAATGGCACAGGATCCATCCCACCAACTCTCATCAATTTTTAGCAGCCTGGAGTCTTGTGTAGAGACAGCTGAGATATTGTGCAAGTCAAGAAAGAAGAAGAGCTGTGAGTTGTTAGAGTATCTAATATGGATGTAGGAGGGCAAGGGTAGGGGCCTGAGTGAAGCAGAGTTCTGCACATTCAAAAGCCCTTTGGAGTTACCAAGGCCTGCACTGGCATGCTTCCTGTGTCACTGAGCTATGTGATACAAAGTCCAGGCCTCGGCTTCCTTGGTGTACATAACAACTAATCTAAGCACATTGTTTTTGCTGCTCTGATATGTCCTCAAATAAAATACCGATCATAGTGTCAATGGTAGTTATTCAGTATTGTCATGCACACTGAAATAATATTTCCACTTAACACTGACCACATGAGAATGGTGTTCCCATCAAATGGCATGGTCTAAAGACATCACGGCCATCTTTGTTTAAGTATGTTCTGATTGTACACTAAGGCTACCTGATGACACATTTCTCAGAACGTGTCCCTTTGTTAAACAAGCACTGCATGCCAGTCCATTAGCTTTCTTTACTGGCAATCCGGGCCCTTCAGCAGCTTACATGGTAAACACGTTTTTATCAAAGTGATAATTAGAAGTGAGGATCCAGAAGTCACATATCTCTGAGGACGCCAGACCCCTGTCATCCTTGAAGACACTCCTCTAAACTTACGTTAAACTTTTATCATTCCATTTGCAACTTTATACCTAAGGGCTATGTGTTTTCTTACCATTTTCCTTTGCTTCTCTTTCCCACAAGTATCTTCTGCTCCTTGGGTTTTCCCACAGCAGTGATGGGCACCCACAGTTATCTAGGCACCCTCAAAATCTGGAGATCAAGGATGCCTTCCACATTGCCATTTTTCTTAAAGTATTGTGAATACAAAGTCATGAAGGAAAATCTGCCATGACTTGGCACCGTGGAGATAGGTTCTGTTCTCTGAAGAACCTCTATGCATGTCTGTGTGGTTGAATTAACTGCAGTGTCCAAATCAGCACCAAAGTCTCTGATGGCCTTAGAACAGTCACTTTCAATTTCACTTCATTGTGTGACCATAAAAAAAGGAAAGCATCGAATGTTTCTTTCCCTTTCTTTTATGTGTGGATTCCCCTAGACCTCTTGGCCTCTCCATGCCCTTTGCTGTATGCATGAAGAGACACTCTCCCAGAACAAATCTGCAAAGGATTTTACTGGCTGAGGCAACCTGGGGTCAAGAAAGCATCCAGCTGTCAGCTCACAGCTAGTCTGAAGGGTAGAGAAGTTCAAGGCTGGGTATCAGACTCCCACTCACCAACCTCCTCTCCAACATTGTAGCCAAACAATAATGTGATTGATACAAGAAAGAACAAAGTGGCTTTCCAGATTTCTCTCTCTCTCTCTCTCTCTCTCTCTCTCTCTCTCTCTCACTCCCTCTCACCCTCTCCCCACCCCCCCATTATACAATGCTTCCTGTTTCCCTAGTAATGAAAATGTGTTCATCTGTCAAACGGAAGGCTGCCCCACTGTCTTAGGTGCAGAGAACTTCGATCACAGCAGCTGCTGCAACCAGACCGAGAGCCAAGCTCCTCATTTGTTTTGGCTAACACTGAAGAATCAGTTTAGGCATCCCCTAGAACAAAATGGTGCACGGGAACAGAGCCAAGCTGTGGAAGAGAAGCAGCAAAGTTGCAACAGATTATTTGTCTGCTGAAACAGAAGGAGAAAGACAGCAAAACCTGGATCCATTTGAGTCCAGCCTCCCCAACACATTCTCTATTTGCAACACAGATGATTTCCTCTAATATCATTCAACAGGTGCTAAACTGTAGCTAGTCTAAAGATTAATTATGCAGCCTTGGAAATAGAGAATTAAAAAATAACGAGGCAGTTCCTAGGATTTTTAGGCTATTTTGACAGAGTACTCAGCAGCAGGTAGAATATATAAACTACATGCATATATAAATATATAACATATACACATATATAAAAATGTATGTATAATATACATACATATGTACACACACACACACATATATATATATATAATGGTGCTTGTTAATGGTAGTTCATGAAGCACCCATGCCTGCCTGAATACTAGTAAGAAATTATGCTTGCATTTGTGTCTCATCTAAGACTACGAGTTCTTTAAAATATGTGTTTTACTTAACTCATCTCTGAGACTGGCACATGGTAGGCACTCAATACGCATAGGATAGATGGCTCATTTGCTGAATCAAACTGTTTCAATGCATAGAGGTCAATCCTTCAGTTTCTCTAAGGAGGTTGAAGTGAGCGTGGTCATTCTGTTGACAATTTACCAGCACTGTTTATATTAAAAGCTTCATTTAGACTTCTCTTTTCACACATTGCAAACAAAACGTAAAATGACACAGATGTGAATTATTTAGATGATTCATTAAACCAAATCCATGTTGTGGTTCATCTGGAAAAAATAGAAAAAAATAGAGTTTAGAGCTTAGGATTAAAATATGACTTGACTTTTTCTCAAATTTGCCAGAAAATGACTAAGTTGAGCTTCAATATTTGAATGCTATAGGTCTGATGAGAGAAAGAGAAAGGGAATAGTGATGGCAAAGTAAGAGGGGAGGGCGGGGAGAGAGAGAGAGAGAGAATCTTAGGATCCTTAGATGACTCAACAACTTTCAGGGTAGATCCCAAACCTGGCTAGATTTTAGAAGATTGCCCTTATATTGGCCAGTCTGCTCTGTGTGGGCTTTTGTCTTAAGAAATATCTAAATTAGGCACTTAAGACAAAATAAGCCAGTACCCAGTACTAGTGGATTGTAAATACTGCAGTGGTTTACTGCCTGCGTTTCCAAGCCTTGAGTTAAGAAAATGATCTGGAATGAATGAATGAATGAATGAATGAATGAATGAATGAATGATGATTCCCATTGAGTAGGTAGTCCATTCTGATAGTTGCTGGTCTGGGAAACAGGGAGCAGGAACTCCTACCTATAAGTCTGCCACAGTTAGGGCTTCTACCTTGGATGCCTCCCCGCCTTCCAAAGTCACGGCGCTTGCCTTTCTGAAGTGCCACAACAATCAAGCTGCAAGCAAGGAAAAGCAACTCAGTGACCCTGTTTGTGGCTAGAGAAAGCTAGCTCTGCCCAGGCCCACCATGAAGGGGGACAAAGGGATCCTTTCATCTTGACCTTGCCCCATGGATCTCACATTTATTTCTCCAGGCTTAACCTTTCTTCCACATTATTTCTGTAGTAAAAATACTCAGTTTCTCTTTCTTGGTACATTGTGTTCTATACACAAATTTATCTGATCCCATTTGGTTGGAATTATTAAATTTGGTCACAATAACAGAATGGAATTGTGTAGCTCTGTGATGTCCCAGAGTCTGATGAAAATGGTTTTGGTTCGTGTTGTTTATTTCTGCTTTTTCTACCATACCATATATCTTTATATGAATGTAAATAGTTCAATATCCAGGTAATTTGACTCCATCTTGATAAATATAAGATTTGGAAACATCAGGATTCTGAAACAAAGCTTTGTTATTTCAAAATGGATATTTGGCACTGTGTAGTCAGAGCCTGTCTGGGGTAACATTTCAAGGATTAGCATTATTGGATCAGAAATAGAAAAATGATAGAGTTATTCAGCATAAATGTGACATTTATGTCAAACAAGCATGGAGTGAAATGAACTAATTCAATTTCCAAAGCCCATTGCATTTAGCAGAAAATTCTGCATAATGCATGCAAACCTGTACCATCACCCCAGAAGGCAAGCTCTGAATTGCTACCAAAAAGTTCAACCCTACCCAACCAAATGCATTATATATGTGTGTGTATATGTGTGTAAAAATCCGAAGTTTCTGAGACAAAAGGGCTTAAATATCGTAGCAGGTGTCACTAGTGCACCGAGGTAATGGTGGGAACTCAGAGTCAGAATATTCGCTACTTAAAACTGATTTGTTCCACTGTTATATGCTCAAGTATCAAATGCTAAGACAAAGAAACACCACATACAGCTTGTTTTTTTCAAAACTTTGCCTGTTTATTTTTCTTCCTTTGTGTCCTTGTATCTCAAAGTATTTCCTGATGGCCAAAGCTTAGTGCTCTATGATGGGAGGACACGATTGGGAAAAACTTGACCTAGTCCCTTTAGGGATTAGTTTTGAACTTCTAAAAAGCATAAAGTGACTATTAAATAGATAAGAATTCTTGTTTGACATTTGGGAATGAAAACCTGTGTTGGGAATCAGTTTTGACTTTGAAACCAGAGCTTAAAAGAGTATCAACCCCAGACTCCTCTTTTTGGTCAGCAAGCAACATTGTATGTGAATTTAGCAGTGCAGTGATGGATCACTTAGGATAAAACTTAAGATGCTGGAAAATGTCCATTGTCTTGAATATCATGTTAACAGAATGGGCTTACGAAGAAGGCCTTTTGATACAGAGCCCTCTAACAGTACCAAATTGTTAAAGGGAGGGCTGACCACTGGCCACTCTTGTATATGTGGGGTGCCATGGCTCTTAGTGTGTGGTATATTTCAGTGACCACTTGGTCTTCTCACACAGCTTTGGTTGGAAACTTGACACCATTCTCACTCAAATCTCTAGCAAGTGACCTTGACGATGTCCACAATTATAATGCTTAATGGGCTAAGATAATGCTTTCTAAGCTCTGTTGTCTGAGGACCCATATACAGGCTTGGTTCCTAGAGAACTTCTGTCTGCCTGGATAATCTCTCTTTGTATTTTCTACATTGGAAATTAAAATGGATTATTTATTTTAATAAAATCAATAAACTCATCATAAACTTACATAACATACACACAACACATACACAGGCTTTTTGCGATATGGTCGCATATAGCTCAGGCTTGCCTCCAACTTGCTGAGGATGACCTGTGGTACCAACCACCTCAGTGGTGGAATCACATGTATGTGCAACCATGTTCAGCTTATAGGACTTTTTTATGAAAATAATTTTATTTTGTAAGCCATTAAAGAGAGGCTCATTATTTCATATTTTTGTAAATCTTTTCAGTGCTTAACAGAAGACAGCTGGAGCAAGGCTAGACTCCATCTTCAACCACCACATTCTCAAGTCTCTGGTAAATTCCACCATACACTTTGAGAAGGAGAGGAGAAGGCATACAGCATTGTCCATGGACTACCCGAGAAAGGGGCCACCATGTATCTTCTCCATGCCACATTTGGAGGACAATTGTTCTTAGTCATAAAGCAGAGGTCAAAATCAGAAATGACATCATTATCATAAATTTTGCAGCAATGGAAGAATTAAATAGCCTGATTTGATTGTGGCACAGTGTATGCATGTATTAAAATGTCACACTACACTCTATAAACATGTGTAAGTATCGTGTGCTAATTAAAAAATAAGGAGCCAGTGAGATGGCTCAGCAGATAAGAGTACTTGCTGCTAAGCTTGCTAACCTGAGTTCAGTCCTTGGAACCCACATGCTATAAGGAGAAGAACCCCTCTTGAAGGCTGTCCTGTCTTCTACATGGGCACTATGGCACGTGCACATGCAAACATACACACACACAGAAAATAAAATAAGAATAATTATTGTTAGTATTACTTCAGTGCTTACTCTGACCTAGCTTGTGTATTCTTTTTTATTATCTCATTGAGGTAGGCAGATAGATAGATAGATAGGTGATAGATAGATAGATAGACAGATAGATAGATAGATAGATGATAGATAGATAGGTTGATTGATTGATAGGTTGATAGACAGAAAGATTACAGAATACACAATATATAGTAGAAGACAGATAGGTATGTTGATATATGGGCAGATAATAAAAAAAGATAAATGATAGGTACTAGAAACAAAATAGAAAGAACGAAATTATATGGCATTGTCTTTATTTTCCAGATGAGAAAACTGATGTAGAAAAAGTTAAATAACTTTCCCAAATTCATTTAGATCACAAATGATGGAGGCTGAATTGGACCTCATGTACAGCTTCATTAATGACCACACATCACTGATGGAAGTGGTGTGAGCAGAGGTTATGGTGGTGACTAGGGAAGAGCAGGAGAGATATTTAACTCTTAGGACACAGGAGCCTTGTAAAACACCTTCCACACATGGTCTGATCTTGTCTTCACAACAGGCCTATGATATTCTTAATATCATTATCACTTTATGGACATGCTAGAGGGCTTGTCTTGGCTTCTAAAAGTATTTTATTTATTATTTTTATTTTATGTATATGTGTGTATTGCCTCCATGTGAGTAAGGGCATCCATGCCGTGCAATGCCCCCAGAGATCAAAAGGAGGCATCAGATCCCCTGGAACTGGCGTTACAGACAGTTGTTAATTGCCATGTGGGTGGTGGGAACTGAACCCAGATCCTCTCCAAGGACAGCCAGTGCTCTGAACCACTGAGCCATCTCTCCAGCCCCCTGTCTTTAAGATCATGTTAAATATATGGCAAAATTATTTAAGCTCTCAATTATAAAGTTGTATTATTACTGTTATTAAATATGAAATCATGCTAACACTAGTGGTATGGTCTGGTGCCTCATTTGGTTGGCAGATGGCAGATGAGATACCATGATTTTTGCAGAAGCGACTTCCAGAGCAGCTCATTTTTACTTCTTTGTGGACCAAGTGTTAAAAGTGTAGCTGAACTGGTGGACAGAAGCTTTAGGAATGTCAGTGCTGACTCTGTGCCTTGCTCTGGAGATGCCCCAGGGAAAATGGAAGTGAGTAGACTTATTTCCTTATTAAATAAACCAGCAATACTCTAACTGGTAAGTTTCTTTTCATGGTTTCTGTATCTTTCCTTCATATGTTTTCTTTCTTCCATACAAAACCAACAGGTTTTTTTTTCCTCCTAAAAATCTTTGTGCCCTTCTAACTTACTGTCCCTATGCTGTCCTCTTAAATGTCAGGCCACCACAAAGCCATGTATCATGTGAAATAGAAGGAAAGTCTATCTGAGTCTATGGACTGTGGGCAGACTCTGTGGTCTATATAGATTGTTCCAGACTCTTCCCCTGCTCCATTCCACCTGACTGGCTTTGCCCACGTAAGTGAGGAGGCTGAATACACAGGGATCCTACAAGCAAGACATGCTGAACGATCAAAGCTTTGGACAGTTTGAAGGTTTTAATGCCATTGACTGGGAAGAGGACTTGCTTGTAGCCTTTCCCCTGTATTTCTCATTCCAGAGCCCTGCTTCTAACTATACTCCTTCAGAGGAAACCAAATATGCCTTGTTCCAATCCCAATAAGATTGCTTTAAATGTTTTGATCTTGCAGTCATGGTTGAGATGACCTAATTTAAAACACATTTGAAGCACAACGGAGCCCAGCCTAAGAAGGTAGCTTCAATATTTTCTTGAATACGTTCACTTTTTTGTTGCATTTCTTTGTCTCAATTCATGCCCAGTGTTTAAAGCTGCCAAATTCATATTTGAAAGAGGTTGAGATAACCAATGAACTAACCAACCAACCAACAAACAAAAAACCAGGAGAAAGAAAAATCGTGTTAGAAAGATCAAGGGGGAAAAAATAAAACAAGAGGAGACAAAATTTGAAAAATCAAAGAAGGGCTCGGGAGATGGCTCGGTAGGTGAAAGCATTTTTCGTGAGATCTGAGTTCCATCCTCCCTGAAAGCCATGTAAAGGTGGAAGGAGAGAATCAGTTCCTTAACATTGTCCTCTGACCTTCAGACATGCACTGTGCTGTGTATGCCCATAAACACTCAACCATATAAACACACATACACACATAAATAATAAATAAAAATTAATAATAAAAACTAAAAAACATAAATCACACACACACTATACTAAAATTAATCCAAGAAACAGTTGTAGGTACTGGTCAAGGAGACTGATTGACAAGCCAAACCTCTGTTCACACAGTCTTGCTCAGATGGTAGGATCTGGCTCTTGGGTGCCCATCTTGGCTTCCATTCCCACATGTTACCATGTGTCAGAGCACAGCCTTTATACAGAATAATATGGTAGATCCTTGAAAAAGTTAAACATAAAATTGTCATATGATCCCCCAAATTTCACTTTTGGATATATATCCAAAAGAATTGAAAGCAAGGTTTGAATGGACTGACGTTCATGGAATTATTATTCACAATAGCTAAGAGGCAAAAACAAGCCAGGAATCCATCAACAAATGTGTGGATAAGTGAACCATCATGCACACACATAAACACACACACACATATGTATTGGATATTCAGTCTTTAAAAAGGAAGATGATTCTTGAGGACGTAATATTAAGTGAAATAAATAGTCACAAAAGGACAAATGCCATGATTCCACTTGTATGGAGTACCTCGTCTAGTCAAATTCATAAAAAAGAAAGTAGAAAAGTAGCTAGCAGGGACTCGGAAGAGTGAGGAAGGAGGGCTATTGTTTAATGGGCACAGAGTTTCGATTTTGCAAGATGAAGAGCTGTTGGAGCTAGATGGTGGTAACGGTTCCATGACACTGTGAACAGATTTAATACTACAACCTCTATATTAGACATTGGTTAAAATGGTTCATTTTGTGCTATGAATATTTTACTACAAATTTAGGAATTAAAAAAAAAAAAACAGACATGTTGGTAAATTACCTTACTTAGTTTACTGTGAGGAGCAGGGCAGAAAGAGAGGACTTAGCTTGCTACTAACATACTAGAGGTTTGCTGACAAAACCTGGTATAGAGCCCCAGTGCACTGGCTCCTGGCCTTGTACAAAAGCTTTTCCCTTTAGGATGAGTTCTTCAGACCAGCCTGAGCAGGCTTGGGAAGTGGGGGGTGGGGGGCTTGTGCATGCTGCTGTCCCCAGAGAAAGAGCGCCTGACTTGTGACTGGGCATGTTGGGGGCTCCTCCACTGATGGCTGAGCTTCTGAACTCTTAGATCTGAACTTACCAATAGATCTGATTATATAGCTGAGACATGGGGTTAACCTACCTGGCTGTAACTCAGGAGTGGGGAAGTGCCTCACGTTCTCCTGCTTTCTGCAGTCAGCTCTGCTTGGGATCTCCTCCACACTGGCATCCTTAATGCAATAGCTGCGAAGTCCAGACAGGCTCTGAGAGATGGCATGGGCACAAGTGAAGAATGCCTCGGATTCAAGCCTGAAATTCCCTTCTTTTCCATTCACTAAGGAAGAATTGTGGTTATATCAAAGGATGAGGAAAGCTTTTCTGGAAAGGGCAGAGAGCAAAAGTCACGCATGTGGTTCCTTTCACAAGTGTTCAATTTTGCTTTTATAAGGCAAAAATGCCATAGATGATACTTACAGGAGCAGAAGTATCTGATAAAAATATATTGTATGCACAAGAATTTGAACGTGGCGTAATTTTTATGTGTCTCAAAATATTATTTTTGAAACTTTTCCCACCACTTAAAAGTACAGATATCATCCTGAGCTTGCAGGCTTCACAAAAAACAAAACAAAACAAAACAGGCAGTAGGCTAGCCAGAGTCAATGAGCTGTTGTGTGCTGATCCTTAATATAAATTGCCTGGTGAGGGGCTGGAAAGCCGGCTCAGAGGTTAAGAGCACTGGTTGCTCTTGCAGAGGACCCAGGTTCAGTTTCTACCACCCATATGGTGGCTAACAACCATCTGTAACTCCAGTTCCAGGGGATCTGACACCCCCTTTTGGCCTCTGGGGACACTGCACATGACATGGATGCATTTACACACATGACCTCTGCAGGCACTGCATGACATGGGTGCACTTACATACATGCAGTAATACACTCATACACATAAAATAAAAACAATAAATAAAATACTAAAAAAGAATAAATTTCCTAGATTGAAAAAAAGATGTAGCTCTCTCACTCTTGAGAGGAAAGGTAATGTATTTATGGACAATTTGTTCAACATTTAGCACAACATGGTAGGCAAGACAATAACTTCTATGAGCAGAAGAGCTGGGTTTAAAACCCCAGTGCTGTCATTCATTAGCTACATGACCCTCAAGTAAGTTACTTGAACTCAGAGCCTTTGTCTCTCTCCATCTACAAATAAGCTGCCTGGAACAGAAGCTACCTAACCAAGCCATTGCATAGATTCCATGGGTTAACTGTACTGAGTGAGGTGACTGGTCAGCTGTTGTTAGCTCCTTCAGGCTGTTATCAGATTTGATGAATAGATTTCAGGTGTTTTACATATCTTGTTTACCAGTGATCAGAAAATACTGCTTGTTGCCGGGTATGGTGGCACATGCTTTTAATCCCAGCACTCAGGAGGCAGAGACAGGTGGATCTCTGTGAGTTCAAGGCCAGCCTGGTTTACATAGTGTGTTCCAGGTCAGTTGGGGATACAGGGAGACCCTGTCTCCAAAAGACCAAAAAGAAAGAGAATACTGCTTCCAAAGTACTTTGAAGTAAAAGAGGTTGAGAGGGACTCAGAAGTAAGATGGTTGCTCTGTCTCCATATCCCCCTATTGGAATAAGAATTAGACCTAAAGGGATGCGATAGTGGACCCTTCCTGGGACCACCAAGGGGTGGGTGTTGTGCTCTAATAATCTAAAGAAGAGAAGTTAATACACAGAGGCCAGAGAGCCAAAGCAAATGGCCTTCCAGAGGCCCCA